CGACTTAAGAAGCCCTGCTTTTGGGTCAACGGATCTGAAAGACCTACAACCACTTACAACCTCCACGCCGCCTCTTCAACCCCCCTGTCCCAAGCCAGAAAAGCTCAAACCCTCAAACCCTCAAGCCCTCAAACCCTCAAACCCTCAAACCCTCAAACCCTCAAACCCTCAAACCCTCAAGCCCTCAAGCCCTCAAACCCTCAAACCCTCAAACCCTCAAACCCTCAAACCCTCAAACCCTCAAGCCCTCAAACCCTCAAACCCTCAAGCCCTCAAACATTCTCAAACCCGCGCTGCCTTCGAAGCCTCGGAGCTCTCCGCGGCTGCAGCCGCGGCCACGGCGGTGGCGGCCACAATGGCCAGCCTTGGGGCAGGCCATTGCCCTTTTTGAGTTTCGGGTTTGGGGTATTGTAGGGGTCTGGCGTGTGCAGGGTTTTGGGGTTCTAGGGTTTGGGGTATATCGGGTTTTGGGGTATTATACGGTTTGGGGTGTTTAGGGTTTGGGGTATAGGGTTTAGGGTTTGGGTCCGCATCCCAGAAACCTGATCCCCAATCCAGATCCAAACGCCCGGAACAAGAACAGAAGGATCTCATTCAGACAAGTCTCTCTCTCGCTTAGGGTAAGCTCTTTAAAGTCCTGTTCACGAATTGGAGCCCTCAAGGCACTAGCCTGAGGTCAGGGAACCCAAGGGTGTGGTTTGAGCTACCCTAAACCCTAACTCTTGAACCCTTGAACCCTTGAACCCTCGAACCCTCGAACCCTAAACCCTAAACCCTAAACCCTAAACCCTAAACCCTAAACCCTAAACCCTAAACCCTAAACCCTAAACCCTAAACCCTAAACCCTAAACCCTAAACCCCAAACCCTACCCTTGCGTACCTTACCAAACCCTCCGCCGAGTGCCCGGGCGCTGGGGCTTCCGTGCCCTCGGCTACAGGCACCTCGGGCCGTGGTCCCTCAAAGCTCAGTATGTAAGGGCTAAGGGTTTCGGGTACGGGCCCCTGATACCACGGAAAGAGGGATCTTCCGACAGCCCCTACCCATTTTCGGCTTGTTGGGCCCAACGGCCCATATATTTTTAGGCGTTGCTCCCGAAATTTTGAACCTGCGAAGACCTTGGCTGGGGTTTGGGGACCTCTATAAGTGTTTTTTGGAGGCTGCGGTTTTTGTAGGTGTACAGGGATTACATGTCGAATGTAGGGAATAACAGGCAATATAGGGCCTGAAGTCTATAGATATATCACTCAAATCAGGGTGTCTAAGCCTCACATACACCCTCAGACCCAAAGCGAATCTTGTACATCTGTAACTCTACTTCAACCCTGCACCACCCAACAAAAACCCCTACTATGCTCCAAGAGCGCCTCATAGACTGGAGTGCTCTTGCCAGCGAATGGCTCGACCTCCAGTTAAGCTTTGGAGGAATGCAAAGCGGAGGGGATTTGAGGGATTTCAGGCTTTGGGCAGAGGCTTGGGACCATCCAGCGCGGGTACTCCCTCGACTCCTAGCCTGTATCGTAGCAAGCTGAACTATGCCCTAAACACCAACGCTCGGAAGGGCCGTAGAACAAGTGACCTTTGGACAGTGCCATCTCTCCACACAACCCTTCGACACCTCAACTTCTCATTGAACCCTAAACGCCTTTTTGGCCGACAGAAACCCTCCACAAACCCTGTAAACCCTAAACCGTACATCCCCAAAACCCAGCCATCCGACGCCTCGCGCAGCGGGGCTGCGGCTACCCGGCTGTGAGTGGCCACCGCGGTGCGAGGGGCTGGCGGAGCCTGCAATCTTTTTTGGTCTTCGGGTTTATTTATATGGTTTTTGAGGACCTAATGGGGCCCCTCATTTGGGGAGATCATTTCATCACTCGGGGTGTACAGGTCGGGCGCTTGTTCGCCCGTAACCAAGTGTGTCTCGTTGCTATGGTTTCTTCGTAGTGCTTCGAGAACTGGCCTGAGGCAGATCGGACTGGGGGCCCCTGCAACGGCAGGCTTTAGTACGGGTTCAGGAAGCCTTTGGTACGAGTAGGGGATATAGGGGCTTCATGATTTGTCACTATCACGGTCTAAGCCAAACCCAAATAGCACTTTGACCATCCCCACCGTCCCTTACAACTCAACTCAGCACAACTTCAGAGATGCCCTTGTATATCTTGCCTGCCATACTGCGGTTCTTTCGTTCAGCCTTCCTGGAATTCTTCTGAGGCCACCTTGTCGGACTCCTACCTACCGTCCCACCTGCTGTACCTGCTGTTAGCCTGTGGTCCTGGATGAACAACCCACTTGTCGGGTAGGGAACTATACTTCCTTACGGGGGAGTGAGGGGACTTCAACCCGAGATTCTGGAGCCCCAATTGGACCCCCCCTGCCCTGCCCCTACCCTGCAAGCAATCCAAAGAGGAGCCTGGAAGGCGCGCTCCGAAACGAGGCCCACGGTGGCCAGGAGAAGCAGCACTGGGAGGAAACGCCTTTTTGGGTTCTTGGAGCACGCATACACCTCTTTAAGGGTTTTAAGCTTTAATTAGGTTCTCCTTCCTTACAGACTCTTATAGGAACCCTGGAACGGGGCACGTGAGCCTCTGCGGCCTCTGCGGGCCGAACGTCGGCGCAGTGGGAACTGCCATCACCTTAGTGGTGTCTCTTACCGGTTCCTGGTATGAAAAGAGGTGCCCTATAATTACCGATCTTTGAAGGCTGATAATATGTGAGGGGGACATATGGTGCCGACCTATGAGTGTGTTGTGAGGGTCGACAGCCTATAGAGTCTAGAGTTTGCAGGCGAGTGGTTTGGGCTTTGCAGCATGGGTTACGGGGTTTTGGGTTCAGTGAATGTAGAGAATATTCCCTGAGGCAAACTGCATGCCAAGGTTCAAGGTATGGAGCGTAGAGGTAAGGATCACGGCAGCGTCACAAAGGACGCAACTTCACCCTCCCACCCAATACTGGTACACTAAAAGATGAAAGCCCGGAAGGTGTGCCACACGCACGACAGTACATGATCCGTCGGCTGAGACCAGCAAGTCCAGTCCCCTTTCCCGACCCCATCTAGGAAGTTAGCCATCTTTCTATCTGTGGAATTAAATCAATATCTGCCGACAGAATAATATATATATATATATATATATATGTAGATGCGTTCGATCAAACATCAAGTCTAGGTAGATCACAGGAGGGAGAAACAGAGAGAGAGAGAGAGAGGGAGAGAGAGAGAGGCAAAGAGAGCGAGAGAGAGAAAGCCAGAGAGAGAGAGAGAGAGAGACAGAGAGAGAGAGAGAGAGAGATCTGGGCTGCCCAGCGCCGCTGGCCGCAAGGGGTTTGGCGAACTCCGTTTTGGGGGGGGACAGCTCGCCAGCCAACAGGCGCGGCAAAAAGGTCCGGGCTGGGCTTTCAGAAGTTTGGGGTTTGAAGTTTGAAGTTTCGGGTTTTTGGCTCGAATTCTTCGAGGACTCGCGTATTAGTACTGGGCGGCTATAATACAGGCTACAGGCTCATGGCGCTGACCTTCAAAGACAATGTTGCAGACTGCTGGCCGTGAAGCTGTGGAGTGTAGGATTAGGGTTTGCAGGTGGGGGTTTGGAGCTCAGGGTTTCGGGCTGATAGCTGAGGATTTGGGTTTTATGTGAATTTGTTTTTTCGAGGTTCAGGAGTATGAAATTTCTCATCGAGGTTTATTTAGGGTTGAGCAGTCCTCCCGATCGGGGTCCAAAAGCATCTGGTGGGGCTGTGGCAGCACACGGGACGTTTGGGCACGTCAATTCCTGCTGCACCGTGTCCTCAGTGAAGCTTGGGAAACCCTAAAGCCGAAACCCTATAAGCCCTAAACCCTATAATGGTTCCGGGGCATGGCAGATCCGCGGTCCCAACATTTTCCATGAGCTGCGGGTCGCATCGCAGAGGCTGCTGGCACTCTTCAAATGCCTGGGAGCGACAAAAGGTGCCTCTGTGGCGTTCCCCTTCAAGGGTTTGGAAGGGTCCATCTCAGGTGTGTTCGTCCATTGGGCAATTGCAAGGCATGTAATAAGTGCTATGCTTGAGACTGGCATTCGCCATTGTGGCTTTGGCGTGTTGCTGGCATACGGGTTTGCACTGGTGCATGCTGGAGCAAGAACCCAAATACATAGACAGACCAGAGAACCTCTTCAAGACAGATATGTTGAGCAGGGCCCACATGGGGCCAACAGCCTCGCCGCTAACATCTGAAACTCTTATTAAGTTATCCACGAGGAAGAAGATACCCGAAAAGTCCGGATCTCACTGTGAGCACTCATGGCAACCTTGGGTCGGACTGTGGCTCCGAACCTTCCACGTCTTGTTTCGGAAGAACCAGGTAGGGAGGGGCAGGGGATGTTCAGGCCAGCTCAACCTCAACAGAAACCTTGGATATACCCGGCGGTAAAGTCGTAGATTCTGAAGGCAGGAGCCCTCATAGACCTCAACCAGTTACCTCAACCAATCAAAGCCCTATAAACCTCCACCAGAAACACTCGAGGCCCGGACCCCTTTCTTGATCCCGCCCCCCTCCAACACTGCACCGGCCTCGAGGCGCTGCAGGTTGATGGGGACTCCGTTGTTAGCGCCTCGGTGCCCCCAATTGCTTCAGGAACTTAAGAATCAGAAGGGTGCCCTTCTGGGCTTAGTGAGGGTGTAGAAGGGGGGTTATACAGAACCAGGGAACAAGGGATCTGTGTACTGCGTTTTGTTTTCACTTGTCTGCAGCGCAGGAACTCAAAGAATGAGGAAGGGATGCTACATGGTGGGTTCAAGGCACCAAATAGCCACCGAATCGAGTGTACGGCTTAAAGGCGAAGAAGCGCGCAAAGACCCCTGCAGCCAAAAGCATCTGTAAACGAACCTACAAAGTCCGAGCTACAGCCTCCCAAGCCCCAATGCTCTTTTTTTAACCTCCACCAACAAATTGCAATTTCAAGTAAACCGTTGAATCCGAGCCCCAAGCCCTCTTCCCTTATCCGCGCGCCCCCCCCCCCCCATCGGAGCCTCAGCGCCGCCGGAGCAGGGCCAAGCAGGTGGCGACGAGAAGGCTCAGGAGCGCGGCGGCCTCCGCCAGGAGGCTTCAGCCCTCTAAAGCCTCTAAAGCCTCAAAAAAGATCCTGAAATGGCCAGAAGAAGCGCCCCCTATGACCAAGTCCTCCCGTTTCTGGCGCCTGTGAGAACCGGAGCTGTTGCTTCCTTAGGTCAGGGTTTTAGGGGGGCTCACAGATTTTTTGTTTGGGGCAGGGCGGTTCTTGAGGGGGTTTTGGCCCTGAAGAGGCTTCATAAGGCCGTTTCATTGGCCCCTGGGACCCGAGGCTCAACTGAGGGCCTGGCCGATGCGAGCCGCGTACTGTAACGAGCAAAGTTACGTAGGGATCACGGGCTTACGCTAAGTGCCCTTCATCACCTGAATGGTCACAACGCCCCCGGCGATTCTGGCGTGTTGGGCTTTTCCTACTCTGGGGCAAAGGAAGCGCAGGAAGCCGTTTTTGCCGGCAAGACTCACTTCTGAAAGCTCCTGGCGGACGTTGCCGACGGCAGCGGCGGCGTACTGCGCGAAACGTGGGGCGGGAAGGAGTTGAGGGCCGTCAGCCTTGCCACGCCTCTTACGCCAAGGAAGAATTCAGGATGTCGGGCAAAAAGGAGACGACCAAGATTCTGCCACACGTACCTCCCTCTGCCCCCCCAAACCTCGCATCCACCCTCCCTTCTCTCAGACTTTTGCACGTGTAATTGCAGTATGTTCGGGGCCATTTAAACAACCATGAAGGGGAAGGAATCAAACTCTCAAAGCCCTAAACTGGGAATCCTGAGCCCCCATTCCCAAGCCACGGATACAGAGACTTGAGCTCCCCATGTCTTTCGTTTTAATCAAGGTCAGAAGGATCAAGCTGCAGTTTCCTGCGACGGCGCTAGAACTTGAAACTCCTTCACCTGCGGTCGCAGAAACTTGACTTTCGCAGGTTGTTGTCATAACGTACATTCCTCCCAAGATTTAGACAATGCTTCCTGATTCCGAAGCGCCGACAAGAGGACATTTAAAGGCAAGAGAAACACACCTGGCATTGTCCACCGCGCCTTCCCCATGCAATCCCCCTCGAGGTTGACGCGGTCGCCCACCTGCTTCAATGTGCTGTGCAGACGCAAAAGGCACTCAGGCGTAGAGCTTCTCCCAACAGGTACCTATAGAAGCTTTCATTCAGAGCCAATAAGATCCAAGTCTCACCCTCGCTGGACTTGATTGATGCGGTGCCTTGTGGCTTTAGGATCACATGTCTGAGGTGCTTTGGGTGCTTTCCGCAGCAGACGTCCAAGTCTAAGGAAAACGAAGACAGTAGCCTGGATCTAATTTGGAACCTGGCTCAGGGCTCGAGCAAAAGGGCACTCTCAGAATGTCAGAGGTGCCAAAATAAAAACTTAAGTATCTCATATATCCTCTTCCTGACTTAGGCCCGCAATCCTGCATGAATCCTTGCACCGCGATAGGTCCAATCACTAAGCGTGAGTTCAACTCCTATGGACGCTGCACCCTGTTTCAGCAGAAATCCCCGCCCGCACCAGTGGCCTTCTTCTTGGGGATCACGATGCATTTCTGCGTGTGAGCAATAAGCATCAGATTGAACCACTTCTCCTTGCGGTTGACCTCAAGACCCGAATTCCTACATCCGAAGTCCCACACCATCTGATTGGGGCTCAGGGTTTGAGCTGTGGGAGAAACCTAGTGCCCCGCAAACCCTTTCGTGGTCCTAGTCGTCTGTTCTTTGAGTCTCTTTGGGCCCAGAGGGCATCCCCGCTTCTTTGGGGGGGCTTCCCAAGGAAGCCTAGGAATACAACAGCGTACCTGCTTTGGTTTCAGAAGCCTCATTGGGGTCCGAGGGAGGTTTCAGGAATCGGTTCGGGTCTTGAGGGGCTTCTGTAGAGTTCAAGGCTCAAGGCCAGCCTTTGGGGAAGGGCAGAAGGGGGGTGGGGATGCGGGTGGGGTGGGTTGTAAGGGGCTGAAGAGGGCTTAGGAACATTCAAGCGGGCTTAAAGGTGTTGAAGGGATAGGTTGAAGGGACAGGGGGTCGAAGGGTTTAAGGGCCATGAGCGCGCCTTTTTTGGAGACAGATACCTTCACTCTTTCTTGGAAGGACTGAAGCTAATCGGCGCCATAGCTAGTGATAGGCCAGCGCAAGCTTTGGGGAGCACAGAACCTAAACCCTATCAGATATCATCCCTTCAACCCTACTCCCCTCCCCTTTGCACATAAGGGTAGGCCGTGTACGCGTGTAGCTTCCCACCAGCCTGCAGCCTAGGAACCGCTATGGCACTCTCAAGAGGCTTGGGTATCGTTGCCCTAGGCCCTAGTTGAGGCGCTTAGGTTTTCATCGCGGTTTTCAATGGTCGAAGGGCCTCAGGCTTGACTTGATGCCCAGCCCTCTTCGTGAAAAGCACACATGACAGGCTTGATCCAAGAGGAGAGGGATCAAGCCACATGTGCAGACACGCTGCAGTTATTCATTGCGCAATCTAGGGGCGCTGAGATCCCCAGACTACTTTCGTCTGAGGCACTTTTGTGCTACAAGGTCCATCTTATGGCCATCTGCTAACTTTGTCTAATCCGCCCCGAAGTTCGCACTCTGGTGCAAGTCAGACGGGCACCTTCCTTCATGTTGCCCTGACAAGATGCCCTTCTTGATGTTGAGGATCTTGATTCGATCACCCATAGCTTTCACTCCAGCCTCCTGCTTTCGAGGACCCTTGCCAAATGCCGAGTCTCCCGACATGATGCTAGTAACTGCTAGTATGCCCTGGCAATGCCAACATCAACCCCCACACGTTGCGAGACCACGACGCACACTTCGAAAAGTCCGACTTCGGCAAAAGCTTTCTGGCTGTTGATGCGAACACAGAATGCCGTGTGTCACGAGGTGCGTGCGCGCGGGACTGTGCTAGGAGCACGCAAGGCACAAAAAAGACGACAGTTCTGCACTTTGCATGGACCGTGGCGCGCGCACGGGACTCAGGCACGAGTGCGGTTTCACAAACCGCGAAGGAAGTGCTGCCGTACAGTCCCCCCAGAACAGGCATGCGAAGCTGGCCCCTCCAAGAGCCACGCAAGGCTGATCAAGGCTGGAAAGCCGTCTCCGAGCGATGAACCAAAACATGCGCTGCAGGAGCGCAACTTGGACGGAATACGGGACAGGGTGAGGTTTGATAACCGCATGGATGCCAGCACACCAAACTCGGCTTCTGCAAGGAACCGTGTACGGGGCGGTGCCCTGCATGATCATGATTGCGGCTAAGCATGTGCGCCGCGCCTAGGTGAAGAGTCGCGGGAGGGCACGGGCTTTACCCTGAGTGATACTGACCCATGCACCAACACTGCTTGGTGAACCAATGTCCTTGAGCATCGCGTCGTCCATGCTGAGCAGTGCAGTCACACCCAGACGCTCCTTCACAAAGACGCGGCGATATCTTTGGAGCTTGGCGGCCTCCAAACCTCAGTTGGCCGATGAAATTCAGGAATGGATAGAGATGGACGACGTAATGCCCCCGCCGCCTACGGGGTGACTGTCACAACTCCAGCAGGGCTAGATTAAGGGCTTCTGGACAGGGATAAACAGGATACCCGTGGCCATTTTAGAAAGCCAGCGGGAGGGAAGTCCATGAAACATTGCTACGGACAGGGCTTCTATATCTCACTCCTCCAAACCCTTCCTGAAAAATGGCCGTGTCGGTGACCTAGAATGCCCGCAGGCGGCAATGCACCCCTGCTTTTAAGGCAGAAAAGGGGTGGGGGGCCGTGTCCATGAAGCGGGTTCCTTGAACGCGCCCCCCATCCCCTTCCCAAATAACAGCCCTGTCGGTGACCCAGAAGGCCTCTTACCAGGCAGTATTACAAGGGGGTCCACAAGAATCCATGTTCCCAAGTACGGCAATGTGACGTCCCCTTTGCTTCTGAAAGATCGGGCGGGAACACGACTCGACACCTAACCCAGAATCTATCCAGAATCTGCTCTGGCAAGCTACGATCGAGGACCCGTTCCAAAGACGATGCTCGACTGTCAGAGCCACTCCACACGCTCGAGGCAGCATCATCCCAGCACCAATTGCCCAGATCGTCCTTGAAGTTAGGGTATTCGTAAGTGATGTGCGGGTGTGCCGGTTCCTGAGACCACTGCTGGACACACCCCGCCCCAAGTTCAGTGCACCGCCTTGGTTGTCGAGTGGCATTGCCAAGAAGGTAGCTCGAGATGCTCTAGTAAGTTTCAATTTGCTCAGAAGGCCTAAATGCAAAAGGGTTTGCTGAGATGCTAGTGGGCGGCTGATGAAGGCCTGCAGCGCTCGGAAGACATCGCGGCCCTCTCCGCCAGTCAGGTTGTACCGATTTGCATAGTTGCACTGCTCTACATGAACAGGAATCAGTCGAAAAGGCAAGCCTGCACATTTCACATCGTGGTTGATCTGCGTCAGCATCTGGCTCACATTAAGCCGGCTCTGTGTGACAGAACTCTTCCAGATAGTTTCATTGTGAAGACGCTCTGCTTCCCCAGACTCCAGCTTGACAAGGGTCATATGAGGGAAGTCGAATTCAGTCTCAAGAGCCAGTGGCACTCGCTGAAATCCGGGATTGACGCTTGCATCATGATGTACCTGCGCGGAGAACTCTTGCCCAAAGATTCAATAAATCAACCCCATTAAGGCCATTTCAACTCTAAATGGCTATAACCCCCCGCCACCCAAAAGACGGATGCGGGCCTCTCCATACACACGATGTCGCCCAGAGCCAGGCACGGCCGCCGGCCGAATGCAATGGTGTTGTCCACTTTTCCCAGGCTCTTCGTGAACTCGAAGGTGGTCGGGCCCCACAGAGCCTGCAGCTTACAAATTCTGTGGAAACTCATAAACATCACGCGTCGCGTACAATGGCCCCCATCTCCGTTTTTGAGTGCACCGAACGTCTCCCGAAACGACCGGAACAGGACACGTTAGACGTCTGCCACACAACCAATCTTCAGCCCTGGACCCCTCAAATCCATGAAGCTCCGCCAATGAGTGCCCATTACCTTACTAATCCCTTCCCCCATAATCACCCCCCACCCCCCACCCCCCCGCAATTCTAACATTCGCCTCGGCTGGAAAATGTTGAAAATTAGGGGGACCTAAACCCTAAAACCTGGAAGCCGAAGCCTAAACCCCACAGCCGAAAACGAGAGAGATGTGGTAGTGACTGCGACCTTTAGGGCCTTTAGGGTTTGGGGTTTGCGGTTTAGGGTTCAGTTAGGAAGTAGCCTTAAGCCCTAAACCCTAATGAAACCCTCTGAGCCTTGAGCCCGTAACTCTGAAAATCCTCTGAGCCTTAAGCCCTAAACCCCAGTTGAAAACCCTAATGGCTCAACTCAAGGGCGGAGGCCCTCAGCCTCCCCTAATTCTCAAACAGGTTTAGTATAGTATTGGGCTGGGTGCCGGGAGGATCCGGGAAAAATGATACTTAAAATTAGGGCGGGGTTTAGTATAAGGGGGGATTACATACGCCCTAGCGTGAAGGCGGCACCCCTCGGGTCCGCCTCCTCTGGGCAGCTACGTGGCAGTTTGTCTGCAGGAGAGACGGGAGACGTCTCCTGAGGCTTTTGTCCACACATTGCAGGCAGCACCTAAATAGGGGTGACCACGAACACGCACACCTCTACAGACACACAAGTTCAAAATCTAATCACATTTATTTATATATACACACACACGCATAACAACGATAACCAGGCAAAGGCGCGGTCGGAGTGGCTGCAGCCTCGGCCCGGAGGCGCATTTGGCGAGTTCTTCGAAAAATCGGAGCCCTGTTTGGTGCCCGAACCTAAATGTCCAGTACAAACGCCATATACGATAACGGAACACCCTTCAAAGACAGACGAGTACAGCACCTTCAACACTGCTTGATTCTTTTAGGCTTTAGATGGCAGGCTTTGCAGATTGCGGTCTTGGCCGACTCGGGAGTTTTCGGGTGAGTTGATGGGGATCCAGCTTGTCGCTTGGGACGTTGGCGCGTCCCAAAGCCACACCGTGCTCGTGGACCAAGAAACTTAACACCCCCCAATGCCAGCAAAAGACCAAGAACCACAGCTGCACCGCCAAACCCTGCGAACAACACCCTAGCGATGCTCCTAGCCCCCGAAGACACACACACACACACACAGGCAAAATTCCAAAAACCCTCACCAAAAAGTAAGAAAAAAACCAGAAAACATGACCCCCGAAACCCTGAGCACCTCCCAAGCAGGAGCCCTCGACTTGAAACCTGCCTCCTCGCTCTCCAGCGCCCGAGAGGGAGGCGCCCCTTCAGCTTCGCAAGCCTCCGAGTTGCGGGTTGGGGTTCGGGCTTCCTGCCCCCATTAATTCTAATAGGAATCACATTAAGTCTAACAAGAAGCCTAGAAATCCGAACCACATGTGTTTTTATAGGATTCCTATTGGTTCCTATTAATTTTAGTAGGAGTTCTCTTCATTTTCAAAGGATTCCTATTCATTTGCAAAAGGGTTCTTATGATTGTTAGTGGTGTTAATTATAAATTCTAATTGATGGCAGGACCCTCTTCATTTAAAGATTCCTCTTAATTTGTAAAAAGGTTCTTATGAATTTTAGTGGGGCTCCTCATAAACTGAATAGGATTCTAATTCATCATAAAAAGATTAAGAGAAATATTAATAGGATTCCTATTTAGATTTAATGGAATTCCCACATTCCCGTGAATTCAAATGGGTCCCTTTTCATTGTCACAGGCTCCCTACTATTCTTCATGGGGGCCCTATTATTGTTCTAAATTTTCAATAGCATTCCCATGACGTTTGATAGAGAGTTCCTCTGACTCAAATATGATTCCAAGTCGCTGTTCCTCTTAATTCAATAAGATTCCTATTAATTTCAATAAGAGTCTTATTGATTTTAATAGGGTTCGTATTAATTTTCATAGGGTTTTCGTTCAATTAATAGGGTTCTTATTAAATTCATACCTATGACTAAGTATGGATTTCTTACTCCGACACGGCCTGACGGTAGGTCATGGGAGGGGGGGGGGGGGGTGTGAGCATATATATATATATATGCCCATATCTATATATATATAGAACCCCCTGGACAGTCTTCAACAGTCGTATCCTCGACACCGTAGCTCTGAAGGATGTTGTGCGCATACTGTAGCCTTGATGGGTTTGGGTATCCAGAACTCGGAACTTGGAATGTTGCTGGTGGTGGTGTGCACCTCCTGTGTTTCACTATTGAGCGAACGAAAGCTGAAAGCTGAGCACAGCTAAGGCGCAGGATCTTCACGTGCTCTGCAGACGCAGATGGACTTGCTCGAGCTTGCCCCGGCCACTGAAGACAAGGAGTAGAGATGCCATGCATGAGCAAGCGCCGCAGTCGCAGAGCATCTGCTGTGCTCATGGCTTTCTGGGGCCTATAGTCTAGTCTTGGACGTAAAGCTGAACATTAGCACGGAGGGGTTGGTGATTTTGAGAGTAGATTGTACGAGTAGAAGACAGCTGATGAAGTCTGAAACCTTTCTCAAGCATGATGCCCTCTCTGCACTGCCCTAGCCTGCTGCATCCGACAGGTCCCGAATCCCTTGGAGTAACTTATGCATGTTCCTTGCAACATTGGCAAATTTGCAACTAGTAACTAGCTCATTAGAGTCGGGCGGAACCTTGCACAACGCTGGACTGCAGTACCGGGTCGCAAGGCAGTCTGTATTGGCTGTTGCAAGGACGCCGACATTGCGTTTCTGACGCCACACCCGCATGACTGGAGGGTCTTTCTGAGTGGTCACGTTAGGCCGCTACCGTATCTGGGTCAGGGGGGCAGGTATTGGCTCTTGTGTTCCTCAGTTCTTCACGAAGGGCACAGTCCTTGCCACCTGTGGGAAGCTCGATTTGGGAGCGTTTATCGAAGTGAAGTGAATAAAGCGCATGTCAGGCCTCTCGCCCAATCAAGCTGCATGAGCAATTCTTGAGAGCAACATGACTGCAAACCCAAGTTGAAGCTAATAATGTCATAATCCTGCAGCCTGCAAGGTCTTACTGAGTTTGCCCGCCACTTGCTAAGTCTTCCCCAGCAGCATTCCAACACTCGGGCCTCGCAAACTGTCAGGCTTGTGCCGTCCACTGCGATGTAACCTTCTCAGGCAAGGAGAGTCCAAGTACCCTGTAAGAAAGACTGCTATGCGGTTTAAGGTAGCCTGGAAATATGATGAGATTTAGAAGCGGTACCTGGTTTTCCTGGCCGGGCTGAGACGGTGGAAGGTTGCGCTTTACTTTTGCAGCCAAAAAACTCGACAGGGTTGGGCTCAGGAGGGTGGGTTTCAGTCCAAGGCACCTAGGCAATCCTAAGGACAAGCAACCAAGCCATAACAGCACATTACAAGACTATAGTTCTTCCTCAACGAACGGCAAGTAAACCTTGCAAAGCGTCCCCACGGTGGGCCCTTCTAAACCCCATGAGGGAGACCCTGAACCCTGACACGAGCCTTTGGGAATGACAAAGGGTAGAAGGTCGTCGCTCAGGGAGATGCGGACCCTCGGACACCATGAATAAATTGTCCAAGGCTTATGGGGAGCCTCTTCCTCTGAACGGCATCAAGCTCTCCATGAGTAGAGCATTTTTTTCTGTGGCTTGCTGAATTCAGGGTCTCAAACTGCGAGGTGCGAGGTCTGAAGCCGGCGCCGCGTTCGCACAGGGCAATCGTGGTTTGGGGCTCCGGGTGCTGGGAGTTTTGCTGTCGGCAACATGTCAAAAAGCACGCGCAGAAAAAATCTCCGCAACTCAAAAGCATCTGGATGGCAAAGGGAGAGGAGTCCCAGAAATCTTCAGCACATCCAGCGTGTGTTCGAACACCCCCTGCGAGCACGTAGCTTTTCCCCATGATGCTTGAAGGCGCGGACTCTCCTCGGGGCCCACCAAGGTCCCGACCAAAGCGAGTCACCTTCGGGCGTGAACTTCAAGATCTTCCCGGCTTCGTCCACGTGGCCCTGAGGCTTTGAGAAAGGTTTAGCATTCGGGTCCGGTGGCTGATCGCTCCCACGAGCCCATTGACTCATTGACCCAATGAGTGTGGACTAATGGTTGGGTCAATGGAGGCCGAGCTCATGAACTTACTTGGGTGGGGCAAGGATGGGCAAGGGCTCGGTCCATGTGAAGCGCAAGGAAGATTTTTCGGCTTAGACCAATCTCAGGGACAAAATGACTGGCTTCATTCGTTGGATAGTCTCTTAAACTCGGGCTCTTGACTCCGGCACAGACTAGCTGAAAATAGATTAAACTGCAGCCAGCACTGATCCTGAAAGCACTGACACAGGCCGGAGACATCCGGCCTGTACAAAGTGACCAGAGTTCCGGTCGCTTGCCGCCATGGACCTGGCGGCTCAGCTTAGGGCTTCAAACAGCTAGGGAAGGCCCTAACCAGAATGAAGGGCCTACTACTCAGATAAGATCCACCCCCCCACCCCTCATTCTTCTTAACATACAGTTCAGCCGCCCTAGTGCCTTCAATCCTCATCTTGCAAACCAGATTTTTCAAAAGCCCCTCCCAGACCACTATACACCCTCCACTTGTGGCCCCGAAACCCTACAAAAACACCGAAAACCCCAAACAAACCACCAACCCCCTTAACCCTAAACCCCTTAACTGAGGCCTCTCCAGGTTCACCGGATCTCCCTTGCCGAGGTCTCCCAGGTCCGTGCGCCGCAAGGTCTCCGGGGCGCAGTTCACCTCGAAGGCCTGAACCAGATGGCGAGTAACTAAAATATCTTGGGGTTTAGGGTTTAGTTCGAGGGTGCAAGGCTTAGATTTGCTCTTGTTATACTACTATCGTATTGTGTTAGCATACTACCATACATTGGAATACAACTTCTTTATAGGTTACAAAATTACTATTCACTACTACGAAATTTCTAATTCCTATATTGCTATATTACTATATTACTCTATTGCTAAATTGCTAGATTACTATATTGCCTATACTACTCTATTGCTAGATTACTGTATCTCTATATATTCCTATACGACTACATTATTATTCTACTATTTTACTATATTACCGTAGTATACTATATGACTATATGACCTTTCGACTATATGACTATATGACTATATGACTACATGACTATATGACTATATGACTATATGACAATATGCCTGTATGACTGTATGACTGTATGACTGTATGACTGTATGACTATACTATTCATAATTTGTGCATCGATTGCCGTCGAAGCCTTTTTGCGGACTTCGGGCAGGCTTTTGGCTTTTGTTGAAGGATGTTTCCTTGGGGGGGGGGGTGCTGAAGCCTGTTGAGTGTTTCTAGATACTCTTAGGCATTTCATGGTTTCTGAATTTTTGTTTTCGAGAGGTTTATGGGTGCCTGGAAAGGCCTTTCCGCAGTATGGGGCTAAGCCTTCGGGCTGTGTATAAACCCTACCACCTAAACCTTTACATCCTAAACCCTAAACTCCTGTAAATCTTCAGACTTTCGGGGGGTCCGCGTTCGGGGCCTTCAGGGGGCTCAATGCGCTACCTACCCCCTTCAACCCTAAAATCCTACCCTAAAACCTCTAAAATAAAAACCCACCTCCTGACCCTGAACCCCCCCCCCAAACCCCCAAACCTCTCTATCGGGCCTCCGCGTCGAAGGTGGTGACTGTGAGGCAGGTGCCGTTCACCGCGATGGAGCAGCCGATGTAGGCACCCTCCAGCGCCACCTCTTCAGGGATTGGGGTTGGCTGCTCAGGCGTTTTAGGGCATTGCAGCTGCGTCAAGCACGAGAGGTTTCGGCTTCGAAGCGAGCCGGTAACTAGCTGAGGGCTTGTTGCTGAAACCGACAGCCACCCTCTCTCCCTCTCTCGCACAAGAGGGGCTCTGAGGCCCCAGTGCTGCAAGCCGGAGCCGTGACCACGAAGAGAGCAGACCCCCCGAGCCCTCAGGGAAGGTGCCACCTTGCACTTGATCCGTAGCACGAAGCCCTCCGACTTGGAGCCGTCCCACATCTCGAGGTTGGCCTGGCGCTCAATTACTTTCAATGAGGCTCAGATCCTGCGTCTCAGGGTTGTGTGGGGTCGAACGTTTCTGCACAAACAGAGAGAGGGAGGGACACGAAGACACAGAGAGACGCACAGAGACACACACAGAGACACACACACACACACACACAGACAGAGACACACACACAGAGACACACACACACACACACACAGACACACACACACACACACACACACACACCCACACTTCCACAGCAGATCTTGGCATGCCGCCTTCCGTTCTACGGACAGCACGGTGCCCATCTCCTGCGACATTTTGAATCTGGAGGGTTTAAGGCAGAAGTTCCTGTAGTACAGGGACCCTATTTATGCAAAATCCCTATTGGAGGATTCTGGCGGCAGATACCAAGGAGGTCATGTCCAAGGGCCGTTTAAGCGCTTCACAGAGCTCTTTAGGCAAAGCGCTTGGCTACAGGCGGATGCCTCCACAATCCCGGTGAAGACCATGGCGCCTGCGGAACGTGCGGAGTAGGGAGCACAGCCTTTCTCTAAAGTTTCCCGTGGGGTCGAGAAACCTCCCTCGCCCCCTCTTCCCCGGCCCGTGCAGTTGGCACTCACCGAGAAACGCTACGCAAAGAAATCTGCTGGGTCTCGTGTTGCAATCCCGCAGCTTTCTTCAGAAAGGCCTGGAGACCACCAGGCCACAGAGGGGGCACGCGGAAAATTGCCGATTTGCAGTGGTTCAGAAGTCTGCCTCTAAGGCCTATAAGGCTGTGTTGTCAACTGCAGGAGCTTGCGCTTTCAGGCCGCCAGCTTGCCAGCGCCATCCTTGCTTGAGGGGCCTGAGGGTTCCACTCGGCTACTACGTTTGCACCTCTTTCGCAGTCTGACAAGCTAAATTTTCTATTCAGCACCTGCCAAGGGGACCATCATGCGGAAAACTCCCCGTCTGCATCCTGAGCCGAAATCTGAAGATAACGTAAGAGCGGCGCTCCTCAAGCACAGTCAACCCTGCGGTAGGTACTGCTACCCTGTGAACCACCCACCATCCGATTCCTAAACCTTCAACGGCCATACCCGCAACCCTTGCCTTTCCTCGGTTCTGTCCTCTTGTCTTGCCTCTGCTGTCTGTCCTCATCCGTTCCGCTTCTTGTCCTGCCATCTGTCCGCTATCCTGTCCTGTTATCTGGCTGGGTTGTAGCGTGGGTTGCTGTTCCCTTGAAAATCCAAAAGCCCCGCTGAGGGTGGAGAGCAAAACACAGCGAATGTCTGTTCTGCTGAGGCGTGCTGGAGGATGCAAGCAGACAAACGATGCCCGTCGTGGCATAGTCGTCGCCGTGCTTGTTCTGCGTGGCATCTGCTTTGTGCCCAGCCCCGGCCATCTAACAACATGGAATATGTGTGAAAGATGTTTTTTGGATCTTTGGCGAAACAGCTATCCGAAACTGTTGTTGGACTGGGCTTTGCTCATGTGCACATAGACTTGTATGTCACTTCTCGCAAGCCTGCAAGACGCGATCCTCTCCCCGAGCTCTAGCGATCCCAAACTCTGACGTGAGATGCAAAGGAAGTGTCTCAACCCGCAAGACCAAGTTCAAAAACAAACGCCGAACGCCAACGCCGATGTCAGCTGCAGTCTGCACATTGCTTCCAGCTTGCTTGGCTGTTGGGATGGTCAAATTGGTACCGTCTTCTCAAAGCTCAGTCTGAACGCATGAGAGAAATGATGAAATCTCAAGTGCTGCCCATAATGCCGAGAAGATGACTCTCAGGCTCATGACAGGCTTGTTAGGAAGCCCAAAGCCCACAAACCTTCCCAGAGACGCTCTGAGCCCCTTTTCTCCGTCAGTATGGCGAACCAGATTGCCGGGGAACCTGCCACGGCCAACCCGAAACTCTCTAATGACCCTATATAAACAAGAAACCAACTGAAGCCGAAGATAGGAACAATCGCAAAGTCGCAGAGCCAAGTGTTTTAAGGCGAGAACCTCAAACCCCGAAAGCTCCCTAAGCCCTAACCCTGAAACCCAAACTGGGAGCCCCGAAGCCGAAACTGGCACAGGACATGCTCGAGGCCTTCAGGCCTCTAAGGTTTCTCGTCTGAACAAACTCTAGGATACGGTGGAGCCTAGGGTGTGGACGCGCATACGGTTGTTCCCCTTGTCAGGAAGTGGCTGACTAACTACAGAGTAGGAGTAAACAAGATCCATGAACATCCTGAACCCCATATCTTGAACCTCCCCAACTTCCCTAATCCCACAAACCTTCAGCCCCTGAGGCTTTGGCGGGAGCAGCAGGAGGCCACGCATAGGGTGGCCAGGCGAAGGGCGGTGGGGGCCCTCAGAGATCGAGTCTGGGCGAAATCGTGACCTTCTTCTACCCTCCTCCCTCTTTCCCCCTATAAGACCATGACACACCCTCACATGTACTGTGGAGTTGTAGCGCCCAGTGGTTAGCCCCAAGGGCGGCGTTGGTGGCGTCTGGGTGGAAGGCGCGCATACATATGACTAGTATGCGCCGGCATGAACAACCAGGAAAGTGCTTGCATAGGTTAGGGCTTGTGACTGTGAAATCACAAACATCTTACTGCTTGGGGTTTGCTAGTCGTTGTGAACTGCGACCGAGGCAAGAACCCATAAGGGGAGGCAGCGGCGGCACCTCTGGTGCTACCTGGGACTTGCGGAGCTTTTGATGAACCCCAAACTTTGGGTCATATACCCTGTACTACTATAATCACTATAATCCCAATTTTACTGTAAGGTCTATGAACCATAAACCCTTTTTTAGGCTTCAATTGCTTCCCAAGGTAGGGAGCAGGAGTACGGCGCAGTAAGACCCTGCACAACCCGAAACCCAAGAAACCCAGCAACCCCTTACCCAGAAGAGTCCCAAAGCAAGAGGCCACGTACCTGCACTGCGACACGCCCTGAACTGTGAACCATCATCTTCCACTCCCTGAAACCAAACCCTATAAACCTAAACCCTCCCCTCCTCTCGCGCTTTCGAGGCCAATATAGAACACAAACTCCAACACCCTTCCCGGTCTTGGGAAATCGTGAGCTTCGTTTCGGTGGTTTTGGAGATGTGGGGCTTAGGGCTGCTAGAGCCTGATAAGGGCTTCTGAACTGTTCTTGAAATCGCTACAGAATATATTCCTTCTGATTGGTATAGAAACAATTAATTGATGTTTGGAGAAGAGGGTTCCAGCGTTGGGGGGCCTTGAATTGAAGGCTTTGACGTCCAGATTTCGCCCGCGTCCCTACTGCCAGTATTGTCGACACTCAACGGACCTCACGCCGCACGCTCGCCCGAAGTGAGGCAAGGAACCCAATGCCCAGGCGCGGCATCCGGCGACCTGCACAGTGTGGAGGTGTTGGTGGTGCCAGTAATAGGACTTCAGCTGTTTCCTCCTTTTCTTTGCTCCCCCGAATCTTGGGCAATCGTTCCCTCCCCGTGGTGCTCTGAACATTCAGGCCCCGACGCTACGTTCTCCCCAACCTCCACAAGGTCTAGTGCTTGAAAGTTGTGCGCATTTGAAGGGCATCAGCTTTGAAGCCCAGCCCTGGGAGCTGAACTCCAAGTTGCTCGTCGGATTCCTGCGCCCAGCAAAGCCCGTAGCTACACTTGCTGTGATATCCCACTGCTCCTTCCAAAGAACAAACCCCAACAACAGCCCGTAAGATAGTGTAAGCATACTCTAAACAAGCCCCCAGCCCTCAACCCTTTTACAATCACAGGGGGGGGGGGGGGGGGCCCTGAGCCAGGAGGCTTTGGGACGGCCGCCATCTTCGGCGTTGTCGCGGGGGCCTCTAGAAAATTTGTGTCCGGGGGTTGTCTTCGGGGCTTTTGAAGTTAGGGCTTAGTCTGGGCTTGCTTTTTATGGTTTTTGCCTGAATCCTCAAACATGAGCCGCGAGGAGGTAGAGGTTGCTAAGGGTTGCTGTGGACGGGAGACTCAGTACCACTAAGAAGATGCCGCCGTTGCACTGGCTGGGGTTTGTGGCTTTCCGGGGCTAGCGACAGCTGCTGTCTGAACTTCGACATTCGGTTGGAGGCTGGCTTTCCGTTTACATAAAGAGGTAAAACGGTAAAACTTTAAAAAGTCTTGATGTTCCAGATACAAAGAAGAACAACAATCGAGACCTCATCATGTTACTTTGCATTCCGCTATTGCGGCTGAGTTGCGCCAGCTGAGAGGGTTGTCACATGACGACTATGACAAACAAACAAGTGGAGGATTGGAGGGTTCACCTTGCACAAATGGCTTCGTGTGGCAGCTCAAGAAGCCTCTCTCCTCTGTTTGGGTGCTGCGCCACGTGCGCGTTGAGTGCGTGTGGCACCCTTCAGACATCCACTCGACTGCGTTGCCCTTTCTCTAGTGCCTTTGTGAGGGTTTTGGGCTGTTGGGTTTTAAGGGCTTCGGGTTTAGGGTCTAGGGGGTCGGGTGCTGCTGCCTTCTACTGAAATTTTGCTCAGGCCCGGTACCTGGTTTTCGCCACCCACGGCGCCCAAGGCGGTGGCAGCCGCCACAATCTGGCACTCAGCACATGGGTAAGAAAATTGGACCAGGCCATCTAGGACTTGCAGCTTTGAGTTCGATGATCTTGGCTTGGTTCTAAGGTTCATTCCTGTCTGTGGAAAGCCCACTCAGACTCTGAGTACGGTGCGAGTCTAAGAGTCAGAGTCGGGCAAGGGGAGGTCTCTGGGCTTAGCGCGGCCTGACCTTCTGCCTCCAGAGCCCTGTTGCCGCTGTTGCTATCGTTGTTGCTGTTGTTGATGTTGTTTCTGTTGCTGTGTTGCTGGTGTTGCTGTTGCTGTTGCTGTTGCTGTTGCTGCTGTGGCTGTTGCTGTGTGGCTGTTGCTGTGGCTGTTGCTGTGGTTATGGCTGTGGCTGTTGCGGATGTGGTTGATGGCTGCGGCTGTGGTTTTTGCGGTTGTTGCGGTTGTTGATGGTTGTGGTGGTTGCGGTGGCTGTTGTGGTTGTTGTGGTGGCCGTGGTGGTTGTGGTGGTTGTGGTGGCCGTGGTGATTGTGGTGGTTGTGGTGGTTGTGTTTGTGCTTGTGGTTGTTGTTGTTGTCGTCGTCGCTGTCGTTGTGGTTGCTGGGTACACAGATAAGTCAGAAGCCTGAAAAGCTCCTCGCCCTTTCGCATCCCCTTATAAGCCCTAAACATCCGAAACCCGAAACCTTGCAGGCGCTGGCTACACCCCCCAAACCCCAAAGGTCCCCAAAGTTGCATGTTTTATTCTGATTAAGTATAAGCCATTCTCCTCATTACCAGTATATAACCAAACATATTATTGACTGGGGGATGCCACCTTGTCCTTCGCCTTCCGCCTGGCCCGCTCCAAGAGGCCCGCCAAGAAGCCCTCAGACGCGCTTTTATAGGGCTTTACTCTGAGGTGCATGGTAACTAGTTGTAACAGGGGAATGTAAGGAGGGCAGGTCTGGGGTCCTACAACCCTACGAGTTCGTAGGCGTTGCAGGGTTGTGTTGCGGGTGACTTGTC